TGAAAGATCCGCCAGATTAGAAGCCGCAAAAGCCAACGAACGAGGGCTCAAAAGTCAGATCGCTAGAATCAAAGAAACGATTAATAAAATTTTAGGCGACGACACGACTCTGGCGGAAAAGATTTGAACTCTGTTTAGAGAACAAGGTGTGACCGTAGTGAGTATTTTAGCCGCTTTGAGTTTAGCCATCAGCACGATAGTGAGTAGCATCGTCGCTAGCGTGAGAGGTGTGGGTGCCCCAACCGCGCCATCGCCAACACCAACACCAACACCAAAAGGTGGTATCAAAGAGTGGATTTCAAAACAACTTGCTAATTTTGCATCTGCTCTTCAAAAACTCGGAGTGAGCGCGTTGGGTGCTCTGCCGGGTATCATAGGCAGTGTACTCAGTTGGATATTTAACGCGCTGAGTAAGTCTGTATCGTGGTTGGCCGAACACGTGTGGGCTTTGTTTTTGGGTGTGGGAGCCTTGGTGTTTGCGTACCTGCAAAAACGATGGTAGTAATAGTTGTAATCAAGTTTAAACAAAAAAAATAAGCCTTACCAGCACAAAGTTGGTAAGGCTTATTTTTTTTGTGAGATTAGAGTGTGACTTATCGCGTTGCCTCGTAAGCTAAAATACCCATGCCAACGATAGCTAATATTCCTACCGTCAACGATAATTTTTCGTCTTGGTGAGTTTGTAGTTTCGTGGGCTCCTGGGTTAAAACTGTAGGTGAGGGTGTTGGTGCTGGTGTTAGTGTTGGTGCAGGTGTTGGTGCTGGTGTGGGTGTTGGTGTTGGTGTTAGTGTTGGTGTTATTGTTGGTGTTGGTGCTGGTGGCGCGACATCATCGGTGTCATCAAAAGAGTCGTCCGGTTGAGGTTGTGAGTTTAAATCTAACACTAAACCAGTTTTCATACTCTGGGTAGCGATTTGAAGATTGTTGTTATAGCCGTCGTGCGTTCCAACCCTCAAGTTTATATCCGATGGAATTAAATACAACCCCGGTTTCACGACAAAATTTAAAGGCGTTCTGACATACTGCAAAGAGTCTTGAAATTGATCGATACTCGTTTCCATGTCGTCTACTGCATTGATGATATCTTCAACGATGACGTTAAATTGTCTCTGAGCGTCTAATCCGGTGCCCGGTGATAATACGCTTGTTTTTGTTTGAGCCTGCGCACCGAGTAAAGCGTACACGTAAGATCTGATCGATTCGTTGATCTTTATGATTCCCGCGGAGGTAAACGAACTCTTGGCGGGTATAAAATCTAACCAAGCCATTTTGACGATGTCGTCTTGTTCGAGATAACCCTTCCAATGCTTAAAAAAAGCATCGTGTTTTTTTGGATCGTCTAAACCCCAATTTTTATCACCCGTGGGGTTGATAAAATCGTCGAGTGTGGTCGTGTTTTTATCATAGTCTAACGGCAAGAGTAAAAACGATTTTGTTTTTTCGTTCCAAAGAAAAACCCGACCTAAGCCATAAGTCTTTTGATCTCTCGTCTGTTTAAAAGACTTATTTTGATCGATGGCAAACGTCCGACAGATGTTGGTAAATGCTCCACGATCATAGGTGTTGCTGAGAGCGTCAAACGAGTTTTCTCCCGGTATTGCAATGGCCATGTCGTTTAATATCCTTCTCACCGTAAAGTATAGATGAAAATTAAATAAGGCTTTAACGTAACGGTTGTTCGAGTTTAAAATATCGATTCCAACACCACAGCCCGTTGTAGCGCAATAGATCGCAAAGTTTAACTGATTTTGATAAAAAGACATGGGGTCTATTTTCCAACGAAGTACAGCATCGTTGGTATTGAGGCGAGATATTTTATAGTCTGAGATTAAGTCGGGGAACGGTGTTAAAAACGTGTTAGATGCGTTGACCGTAATCTCGAGTTCGCCGGTGAGATACGGACTGTCTAGTACAAGCGCTTGGGTGGTAGCTTGTCGTTTAGCTACATTTTGATTTACTTGTTTCGTTACCTGATCAGCTATCGATTGTATCTGCTTTTTTAACGACTCAAAATCACTCATTATTTTAGTTTCAGATTTAATATAAAAAGACTTTAAAATAAATGCATTCGTTTCACTTGTTTCAAAATGAGCAGACGTTTAAATTAGAAGACGTCGTAGATAATTTAAACGGTCAAAAATCTGTACGCGTAAAAAGGGTGATGTTTAACCCCGGATATTTTAATATTTCCAGCGCCACGGAGATTGATTGGTATACGCAAATAGACGGGAGACCAGCTGAAAGACCTGATGATGGTATAAGACCCGAACTGGTTAACCCAGATGTAGAAGTAAGAACAGATAGAGATTTTATTGCGCAATTGGTACCCGAGTACCCCTACGACTTTTTAATTAACGACGAAAATACTTTCAATAGAGTTATAAACGATCTTATAGAAGCGTACGAAGAAGATAGACTAGACTCTGCTTTAGAATCGATCAAAGAAGAAATATTGCAAATAGAAGAGTGTATAAGAACTTTAGCCATTAAAAGGAGAGACGACAGAACACTAACCGACGTACAACACAATACGATTAAATGTTTAATAGCAATTATAGCGGAAAGAAGAAGCTTCATCTTAGAAGGTAAGATAGCGCTAGAATATATCGACGGTATAATAAGCGAACCTAGGGTAAGAATTATTAGACAATCTGGTGTGACAATACGTGGGAGTCTTGTCGTGTCTGGTGATAATTTAGATTTTATTTCTCCGAGTCTTTTAGCGCCGTTACCAGCCGGAGTCACCGGTTCAGTCACCATCCCACCTGGGTGGTACGACGTCGATTGGTTCGATTTCATTTTAAATTCTATACCCGGGGTAAGTTTTCGAATATTTAGAGAATTTAAAAAGGTGACGTTGGTGATAACCGACGTAAATCTCAAATTGCGCTTGAACAGAGAAGTATCTCGATTACTCAATTTACCCAAAGGAAGACTGGTACCCAAAGTGGTGTATACGGGGTCTTACGACGTTAATCCGTTTAAATTTTTGTTTATTCACTGCCCGCAATTAAGTACGAGTGAAAACTTTTTTAATGGTCGTCCTTCTGACATCTTAAAAATCGTACCCGTGGCTACGCGCAAACCCGATATTGATAGAGCCGAGGGATTCAAAAATCTTAAAAACGGTATAATCGACAAACTGACATTTTCTATCAGCGGTGAAAAAGGACAGGTATTCAACAACAAGGGTGAGGGTATCATTATTGAGTTGGAGATCTTTTAATTTTAAAATATTTTTATATTAAAAACATGAGTGTAGATGGTAAGGCGTTATACCCCGATATTTCTGGAGATGTACTCCGATTAAATAGTAACGAAGAAACAAAAGTGTACAGACTTAAAAAGATTGAAGAGATTCGATCTTTAATCTTGAAAGAGAGAGACCACCGAGAGCGCACTTATAAAAAAATAAAGAGAGTGATCGACACTATTAATTACGTAGAGATAGGATTAGGGGCTATAGCGGGGGCTGTCAGTATTCCCGCTCTCTTGGGTGTTATATCAGCCCCCGTTGGATTGGTGCTAGAAGGAACGTTTATAGGCGCTTTTGGTGTAGATATTCTGCTTAGAATCGCGTCTAAGCGATTATCCGCCAAGCTGAAAAAGCACGACCAGATTAAAATATTAGCAGACTCCAAACTTAACACGATTGAAGAATACGTGTCTCAAGCCATCAACGACGGAGATATATCGCACGAAGAGTTCTTACTGATTACGAGAGAGCTCGCAAAATTTAACGAGCTTAAGCAAAAAATTAGAACAAAGACCAGCACAAAGCTTCAAAAGATTAAAAACGATACAGACTTTGAAAAAGAAGTTAAAAAACGGGTAGACGAACGGCTGGCAAAAGAAAAAAAATCTCTTATCGAAAAACTTACAAGTTCGAATTCTCGGTAAATAAACATTATGAAAGCGATCCGCCGAGTTATACCTCTATTTCACCTCTTAGGGCTACACCCTCGGCCCCGCCTTTATTGTAGTGGTCATCGTATCTTTTTAGTGCCTTATTAAATTGATTTTGAGTCACTTTAAATAAATCTCTAACTCGTTCTTTGTCTAATCCAACGACGTGATGGAAACTCGCGGCTATTAACGACCGTTTGACGCAACCATTTCCCCTCAATGTTTTGTAATTAACGAGCTCGTTATATTTATTGATTGTTTCTTGGACATCTTCTACGTCTTGCTCTGGACAAACAGAAAAAATAAGTTTCTCCACAGTTTTTCTTTTGTTTCTTTTTAAAGTTGACCAATTGATACGATCTTCTTGCGCATTTTCTGCCAAAAAATCAAAGTAACGTGAGACTATTTCACCGCACGTTTCACAAACTAAAAAACCATTCTCGATAATTATATGATGATCGCACTGATCTGTTTTATCAGATAGCTCCAGGTTTTCACTCTGAAAAAAAGTCATTGATATATTTAATAAAAACCGATATTATTTTTTATTAATTTTTCAAGTACTCGTCGGTCTGAACATATTACTCTCCATTTTTATATAAAAAACAGCTCCTCTACCTTTTCACAGGTAGAGGAGCTAATTTTTTTTTGTCCCGAGTTTCAAGGTCACGTGGTGGTGACATCACCTCATTTTAGCGATGACAGATTTTTTTGCTCCCAAACCCGACGTCAGATTTTTTTTTTAAAATTGGGATCGGGGGATTCCCCTAATTTTTTTTTCCCCAACTTTTTTTAAAATCGAGAGCGGCGTGCCCAGGCTCGCCGCAGATTTTTTTTTTCATTTTGGTCCCGTACCCCCGCCTCCCTTACTACTGGGGACGAATCTGTGGTTTGGAAAATTCCCAAAGACAACAAATCCACGGTCTGGTGTCCCGCCTCGCCATGTACAAATCACTTGAAGTAAGACCAGGTCATGTGTAGTCTGTGCTAGGGTTCGTTGCCATAACGAAACTTTGTGCATCACGAGTAATTTGTGTTTATTTAGAGGGTACGGCTGATTTGCATACAATCCATCGAAGTACGGCATTGAATGATGTACATCGACACATTTCTGGTAGATTTTTCTTTCTGTGCGTGAGCCTTCACAGCTTTTTTCCCTTTCTTCATCGTCAAACCTGTAAATACCAAGATGCCGCAAAAAACCATTCAGCAGTTGGAGGCATACATTAAGGCAACAGCTGTCGTGTACGACCACTCCAACACCAAACTCGTCAGCAGGAAGACTAAAGTCAGCAGGCGTAGGAAAGAGGCGTTTCTTTCTGTTCTTCCATACAGGAAACCGTCGTCTCATTACCATTCCCATGAGAGAAAGACATCATCATCATTGATTGCCCACAAACCAAGAAGTAAACCTTCGAAAGAAAGGTAAGATACCTCGTAAAAGATCTATCTTAATGAAAACTCCAGTTCTGTACACAAAATTTAATGTATTTTGTAATTATTTTTCCCTGACAAATTACAGTCGAGTGACTGCATTAAAAATTCGAAACCTGTACCCGATGTCACAGCTCCTCGATTGGCCCTCCTCAAGAGAACAACATTCTGTATAGTTTTACCAATACAAGTGCGTAAATCTCCGCGGAGAGATGGGGGTATATACCCCCGCTCACTTTTTGAGCAAGGGGGGGGGGGGCATCGGATCACCCCCCCCCCCCACCACACACACACACTTTTTCGTGGTGAGGTATTTTTCAAACTTGCCAACAACTAAAACAGTACTGAACAAGGAAAAAAGCCAAGGCTTTAAATGCGCCGCTTTGGTGCAAGGTTAAGGGTGTATTGTATGCATAAGATGTTCATCTGTATCATTGTATTGTATTGTATTGTTTTATTTTCCATTTGTCACAAATTGATATAATGCTAATGCAACAGTTTATTTACTACTACAATAACTAAATACATGAACAACACTTTGTTCAATTAAACATAAATGATGATAGGTGGGGGAACCAGGAACAAAGCCTAAGCTTATACAGAGCCTGGTCCCGTTTGTGAATAACTTATGAAATAAACAATAATTAAAGTTATAATTTAAATCAGTGTTCAATAAATTAATTAAAGGGAAAATACAACATTTGCAAACATCAAAAAATTACACACCTATGAACGGGTACAAGCCAGCTAGACTGGTTCCCTGACCTTACAATTCCCCAATGTATGTAAACTGCTCTGTTTCTTCTTAAATGGAGTCAGGGAACCAGACTACAGGCAAATGATGTTTTTTCTTGGTTTTTATAGCATTTTTGAACCCAAAACCTCGAAAAAGTCAGTGTAACTATATTTGCTATATATTTCCAACCCCCCAATTCCATCCATTTCTGAAAATTACAGCAAAAGCAAATGATGTATATTCCCTTTAATTAATTACTTTAGCATAATAGTAGAAAAACTGATGGAAATTGAAATATACTGATTTACAATATAACATTTGATTATAATGGAATGTGACTTATAAAAATGGTAATTATGGATGCATGTCTTATATAATACCGGAAATAAGTAGATTTTTTTAGATAATGTGAATTTTTTTGGTTGATCTTGTGTAATGTAAATGGACATCTAGATTCCTCACAAATATGGACCTGATATTTGTAGGTAGTAGGTTACCTTCGAATTTAAACACAAGGATTCCTAGATAGTGTTTGTACAGTTCAAAAATATTCAGTGTTTTATTGTCTTTAAGGAACGCAGAGTGTTCTCTGAAATCGGAATTTGTGATGACTCTCATCAGCTTCTTCTGTACTATAAATTATTTATTCAAATAAGTACCATGAATATTTCCCCATGCAAGAATTCCATATTGAAAATGTGGTCATGCAAGCTGTATAACAAATAGAGAAGAGGACATTTCTAGGTAGTATATGTCGAAGTTTACGAAGTACACCCAATAGCTGCGAAAATGATGTGTGAATCTTTCGGCACTGTACTTGGCTTATCTAAGATTTATTAATATAAATATTAATGTCAACATCATTGTACTTTTTTGAAAATAACAAAACATGTTTCTTTTCATTTATCGACAATTTGTTGCATTCAAACCACATCGAGACATTCTAAAGTCCTTTGTTTATAATTAATACTAGCTCAATTAAATGACTAAAGAAAACAGTTGTGTCATCTGCAAATAAAAGGTAACAATTTCGAAGAGTTACAAATATCACTTACATATATAAGGAAGAGTAGTGGACCTAAGATTGAGCCTTGTGGTACGCCACAAGTAACTGACTTAAGGCCAAAAAAAAAGTCTCCGGTTTCTGGTATGCGCGCGCGTCGCCGTAGCCATGCGCGTCGGCAAAATGAAAGAAAAAAATTCTCAATAAAAGATCATAACCGCCAAACTCACTGGTTTGACTGGAATCCTGCTGCTGCAAAATTTTAACGTGTTTTTGGATGGGGTTATGATCTAGAATAAGCTTCATGTTGCCTCTCTGGTCGCCCATAATATTTGCACTAAGTTTAGTCGGGCACCATTTGCAGTCATCAGCCGATATTTGCAGCAAAAAAAAACAGGTAAAAAAAAAAAAAGCCGCGTCGCCGCACCACGTTTTGGACAAGCTCCATACCAGAAACCGGAGACTTTTTGGGGGGCCTAAGGGTTGATTTATTATTTTTTCATTCAACACACTGTTTTCGGTCACGAAGATAATTTCTAAACAGTCCAGGGTCTTCCCCCTAACACCAAACCTCTTAACTTTTCAAAGTAAAATGTCAAACTCATTTTGATAGTGATTTTTTCCAACTTTCACTCGAGAGGTAACACACTGAGTATACAGTGTTTAAACGTCGGTGAAGGGCAAAACCTAATTTGATTTATATCACCCGACGCAAAATTCCATATTATAATAGTGTATGCGGTACCCGCTGCTATGTACATCAGATTCGAACCGGCCAATCAATCCCGTTAGCTCGGTGGTCGAGTGGTAAGACATCTGCACTAGAAAGCAGGAGGTCGTGGGTTCGAGTCCCACCCGAGTGATTTTTTTCCAACTTTCACTCGGGAGGTAACACACTGAGTATACAGTGTTTAAACGTCGGTGAAGGGCAAAACCTAATTTGATTTATATCACCCGACGCAAAATTCCATATTATAATATTCTACTATATAGGTTTTCCCAGCTATTTTAACACTTGTATCACAAGAATTCCCTATATCCATACTTTAATTTCGTCCCCGAACATCGCCAAGCTCAATTCTCAATTTGAATGTCAAAAAGCCACCACTAGATTTCATTCAAGGTTCAGTATAATTCAAATTGTTAGCATTCCGATTCGTCCAAAATATTTGAAATTCGTCTCGTGAAGCAATCGGCGGTGAATTGAAAAAGCAAATTCGTTTTTTGTCATTCGTTTTAATGTTCTGGTCATTACATTTCGTCCCTGGTGACTTAAATCGTATACGATGCGCCCAATATTTAGACTTAAAATTAAATTAAATCTAATGGTGGCTTTCTGAAATTCAAATTGAGAAGTGAGCTTGGCGATGTTCGGGGACGAAATTAAAGTATCGATATAGGGAATTCGTGTGATACAAGTGTTAAAATAGCCGGGAAAACGTATAATATCAGAGTTTTTTTTTCATTAAGAGTTCATATTTGTACATGTTTTCTCGTCCTTCTCCGTCGACCTGCATCAGCTCTGTACCAGATCAGCTCTGTACCAGATTCGGACACTTCCTCCTCTCCCGGCTCTAGCTTCTGGACCAGCTGTCGTAATGGGGTTTAGGGGTGGCAAAGATCACGGGGACTCAGGAATCGGGGTGCCCGTCCCAACGCCTCCTTTATCTGGAGCAGTAGTCATCAAGCGCCACTACATGTATTCGGACGTTGGCACTGTGGCCCAAGCAAGCCCATAGGCACCTTTTCAAAGGGCTCGCCTACCAAATACCGTTTGAGCGAGTATCTCTCCTCTTCACAGAAGATTTCCTCCTCCCACTTGTACACCTTGGCAGCCTCTGATGCACAAACAATTTCTGTCACACCGTCCACAGCAGACCGCCCTATATCATGCTCACCAGAGGAAAACACGTCTGGAAATTCCATCAAACTACAAGACTTCACCTCTGCATGATAGTCCTCATCGAGGTCGACCTTCCTACGGTCATATCAATCATGCAGGTGAGTCGGGAGGTCCCTATCGACCTCACCTACACGACCGTGACCTGGAACAACTGCCGAGTCAACCTCATTAACTTTCGCAGATGTTTCAACAGTTGTTCCCCTTGCGAACAACCTGACTCTCCTCTAGCTTTGGATTGAACATCCGCGGCTTGAGAGTCTTGGCTTATGGCTCAACCAGCGACCGGGCTAGAAGTAACCCTCGCTTAGCCAACTCGGACCCGCCTTCCACAGGCTCCACGATTGCCGGCTGTTTCAATGCCTCTGCAGGGCGGGTAACCGTACCAGGCATAACAGCCTCATGGCTGGACGGAATATCGGTGGCTTTGACCACCCCCACGTACTCGGCTAATGAACGGGTTACCAGCATCGTTTGTGCATTTCATCCGTTCCCTGTTTAACCTCAACTTCAGGCTTCGGATATCTAAGTTGCCTCCAGTAGGTAACAAGAAATCCATGCCTAATACATTATCATACTTGATGTCAGCAAAAATTGCCTGAACCAGGTAAACTGTTTCACCCAACTGTATTTCATCCCAGGCAACGCTCCAGGCGAGTCTACATCACCAACAAACTCATTGGATTTCCCCACAGCGGGTTTAGTAGCAAAACTCAACAACTCACTGTGTAAACCTCGTTCCTCCATAGCACAATCATCATCCCGGTTCAAGAAGGGATTGGTACAAGGACTACGCGTGGGAATAGACCTCAAAGGTATACTCTCAGCGTGCCTTGCGTCCCTTGGAACCAAATTTGGTGACGTGTCAGCACTGGAACGATCCCATGCCTTCAATAAGGCATCCCCTGAAATATCCTCAGGCAACTTCCGACTTATCTCTGCATCTACCTTGACCAAATGTGCATTCCTACTGTTAGGGGTATGCTCACTCGCAAACTTTGGCTTTGCCCCCTTTTTGACAGCCTCTAACTCCGAAGAAAGACGAGCTCTCTCCCACTTCAACCACTGAACCTCCATTCTCGAGCAGTTCAGCTCATCCAGGATAGAACCCTTGTCCGCCTCAACCGAGGTGACACTACCGCCCTAACTCATACTGACGTTTCCTCCTGGAAATTTACCACCGTTCTGTGATTGCGTGACTACTTAAATGTAAACAGAGCACTAAATAATGAATAATAACCTTCTCAATGATCTATATAATTATCACAGAGACAATTGCTTCCAAGACAATCAATAATTGGTCGTATTCTCTGATCAACTATTAGACTATGATCTTTACATACACAATCAAT